TAGAATGCAAATGTTTTTCTTTGTTGTTTTTTGTTGCTGTTGTTGTTTTTTTCTTCTTTAATTATACATATTACTAGGATTAAACGCCACTGTCTTTCCTCCTAAGCGATTCAGTATGTTGCTCTTGCGCTCGAAATGACGGGGAAGTTCGGCTTCACTATGGCCTTCACAATCGTGTACATCTACACTGCTGAGATCTACCCCACTGTACTCAGGAACGTTGGCATGGGAATGTGCTCCTCGGCCGCTCGAATTGGCAGCATCACAGCTCCTTATGTCATCTATTTAGGTACTTCATAACCCTGTTACCTGTAAAGATACAACCATGTTACTGCACTTTTATAAAAAAAATAATAATAAAACAGCTGTACAGAAAATTCAGAACAAAATGAAGGATCATCTATAGTGCTGTTCTGGTTTTCCATTTTCTGATATGGATTTTGATTTTGTTGCACTTACAGGCACATATAATAAGGTTCTGCCTTATATTTTAATGGGAAGTCTCACCATCGCCTCTTCAGTGGTAAACTTTTTCCTCCCAGAGACCTTCAATAAAGATCTTCCAGAAACAGTGGAGCAGATGCAGAAATGTCGAGGGTATTTATTTACTTATTTACTTCTTTCAGATTTTGTGATGGAGATGGCTCTGTTACTAACGTCCCAATTTATATCTTACCGTATGTTTCGGACTATAAGGTGCACTTAAAATCCTTTAATTTTCTCAAAAATCAACAGTGAGCCTTATAATCTGGTGCGCCTTATGTATTCATTCTGGTCGTGCTTACTGACCTCGAACCGATTTTATGTGGTGCACGGTGCTCAAAAATCTGTCAAAATGAACTTGCTTCGTTTAATGCGCCTTATGTATGAAAACAGACATGTTCATTGATATTGCGCCTTGTAGTCCGAAAAATATGGTAATATAAGTTTTAGCCATGTTTGTGTAGGGTTGATTGGCTGTAGCAGCCACCTTGAATCAGGATGACTACAAAAGTTACTCACATGTAGATGTACAGTATATCCAATGATTACTTTCTTGGCGAATGCGTTCAGTGGTTTGTGAAATATTTTTTGCTAACAGACAAGCACAAACAGGCAAACACATATTTCTTGCCTTTCATGGGGATGGGCAAGAACAATAACCATAACTTTAACAATGTAGATTAGGATATTTCTGTTATTCAGACCCAAAATGCATAAAATTTGGTTTAAAATAGACAAACCATTATAACTAACTCAGCCAAAGACAGCAAATCAGAATGAAATTAAAAATAAGTGTCATCAAGAGGAACAAGAAGTCAAAAAAGTTGTGTTTTTGGTTTTGCTCTGAAATGAACCCAGTCAGCTGTTTGAAAGATTTTTTTTTCAGTTCATATTTAAATAGTTAAGTCAAATACACTAAATTAGTCAGCTTAAAAAAAGGAGTGTACATGGAAGAAAAACATGTTTTCAATTTACGCAACACATCTATGGTATTTTTGGCTGCCCTTAAATATATATTGATGCAAATTAAATGAGTTCACAGTACAAGGCTGAATCTGTTTATTTATTTTTACTGGGTTTTTTTTTAATTGCAGGTTATGTGGCAAGTCCAAAAAGAAATGTGTTCAGAACGGAGCATTGAGGAAACAACCCATTCTACGAGAAGAAAAGTCTGAAGTGCAAACACTTTGTCTTTAGTTTATCTTATTTTATTCTTTAGATAGACAAAACGTTGTCACACTTGAAAGTGATCAGAAAAAACTTAAAAATAATCCCCAAAAGTTGGCTACTGGAGAGCCAGAAGTTCATTACGTATGGTTTCCTTTTATTGATTTAGCTAATGTTTGTGCAATTTTATATTTCATAGAAACATTGCCCAAAAATGCTCAAATAAAATGTTTTCATTGAATTTCAAACACGCCTTTCTGATCAGTCATTACGTTATCACATATTTAAAGAAAATGCATAAGTACGTAAAATGTAAATAAAAACCGTATCCAGTGCTTTACGCTGTACCTCGGTTTTTGTCCCATTTGAACTTGTTGTCTCGTCGAAGAAGTTGTGCGTTCGCCTCACTAAGATTTGGTGCAAACTTTGCGAGATAATTCATCATGTCCAAGATTTGTCTCCAGTTCTGCTTCATTTTCTGGCAGTGACATGTGGCGAATTGATTTCACCTTTATAGGATCTGGCTCAAGTTCATTTCCGGTGAGCTTGTGTCCAAAGTAAGTGACTTCGTTGACACAGATGCAACACTTGTCTGGGTCGAACATTAGAACTTTATTTCTTTTTCAGCTGAGCGTGGCTTTGAGGGGTTTTGTCTTCCCAAACATAATGATGTGATCCACAATGCCAGCCACTCTATCCAGGATATGTTTTGTCAATCCTCCTTTTGAATTAATCCTGGTGATGATGCCCATCATGCCCAAGTGAGGCCCAAAGGGAGCCTAAGGAAGCAATATCTGCCAAAGATGTTGAAAGTAATGAGTAGAGATGAATCTTGACTGAGTTTGATGGTCCAATAACCAGATCTAGCATCTATTATGCTAAAATACTTGGCTCCATCCAGCTTGTATGTTGTCATCAAGCTTTGGGAGGGGATAATGTGGCTTCATTGTACAGTAGCTTTGTTCAAAGCTTTTCAGTCTAAGCATATACAAAGTTTGTTTTTAGTTCCTCAGATTATGCGTTCATTCATCCATTGGATTGGCTTAGTTACTTTGCGTTTTAGGCCAGGTTTTTCCACATTTTCTAGTTTCTGCTTAGGGAAATCTCTGCGAGCAAAGGGCATTCTCCTTGGGGGACAAACTACTGGTGCTGCACTGGGGTCAATTTTAACACTACATTCACCCTGAAATGCACCAATGCCTTTGAAACTCCAGAGTACTCACTCAGCATGTCATTTGGCTGGTTGGTTGTCTCTTTGTTGTTTGCAGTGGAGACTGCACAACTTTAAAAGCCCAAGGGCTTTGCAAGCTTTGTAGGCCAGAATTGGTGGTTTGTAGCAGTCTACAACATAGAACCTCTGTGTTGTTGCCATGTCTTTGTTTCTGCTGACAAGGGTATGGTAACCTGTTACTTTCAGTGGATGTCCTCCATCAGTGGATGTCCTCCATCAGTGGATGTCCTCCATCAGTGGATGTCCTCCATAGCCATATAGCTTGTGCTTATCTTTCTTTTAATGCTATTTGTGGCATGAGCTTCTTCAAGTCTTTTGTGGGTATTACACTTGTTTGTGCTACTGTGTCTAACTTGAATGTTAGTTTCACGTTACCTTTTACGAGTCTTGTTTCTGCATATGACTGTCCTCGTCCTCTTCTACTGTCACTGTGATGGTGTCCAGAAACCGCTCTGGTTGGAAATCTTCCTGAGTTTCTCCAAGAGTGCACCTTTCTGTGTCCTGTTTTAGTTGAAGGGACTTAGAAAGCAAAGAAAGAGTTGAACGAATTAGGATTAGCGATACCACCGAGGAGTATTTGTTTAAGGCAGACAAGTGCTACATCTGAGGGTTGTTCTTGTGTAGCAAAGAGGTTGTTGGTTTTCCAGAGAAAGTTCAAGGATTCCAGGAGTTAAGTAAGGAGGTTAGGGTGAGAAAACAAGCATGAGAAGGAGACAGGCAGAGTGGGTAGTTGTTGAGCTGAGTTTACTTTCCCCAGGGAACATTTCACTAATACAGGAGGATCAACGTGAAAGCTGACCAGGAGTGAGGCCCTTCAGGAGTCACCAGAGGGGCTGATAAGTACTGCCTCAGTTCAACCATAACTCCTCACTGCCATCAGATGTAGATTGGACACAGCTGGGTAGGCACAGATAGGAGGGTCAGCCATGCCCAACTGTAAGAAAAATGCCTTTCACACCTACAGAACGGGTAAAAACAGAATCCCAACACATGATCTTTGGGCCTTCAGGAAGCACTGCATTAAAACCAGGTTTGATTTTATTAACATCACTGCATAGGTTCAGGAAGACTTCCACAAATTATTGACCATAAACAAAGTTTGCAACTGGTTAAAGCTCTATCATGCAAAGGAGAAGCCATATGTGAACACGATTTAACAACATTGCCATTTTCACTGGGCCAAAAGCTCATTGATAATGGGATGAAAGTTTGTGGTCAGATAATTCAGATTTGATATTCTTTTTTTAAATCATGGAAACTATGTCCTCCTCACTAAAAAGAAAAGGGACCGTTCAGCCCGTTACCAGCGCACAGTTTAAAAGCCTGCCTCTCTGATGGAATGGTGGTGCATTAGTGCTTTTTGCATTGGCAACTTACACATCTGCAAAGGAGCTATCAATGCAAATAAGTATACACAGAACAGGGCTTAGATTTGACATTTATACTATGTTATGAGCAGTACGGTGGTGCAGTTGGTGGAGCTGCTGCTTCTCAGCGAGCAGGTTACCCTGGTTCAAATCCCAGTCTGGGGGCCTTTCTGGGTGAAGTTTGCATGTTCTCTCCGTGCATGCGTGGGTTTTCTCCGGGTACTCTGGTTTCCTTCCACAGACCAAAAACATGCATGTTAGGCTGATTGGTAACTCAAATTGTCCCTATGAGAGACTGTAAATGGTTATTTATCCCTGACCTGTGAAGAACTTATGACCTGTCTAGGGTGTACCGCACCTCTCAACCAGTGACTGCTGGAGATAATTACCAGCTCCACGCAACCAAAAAAGGTAAAAGTGGGTAAAATATTGCAAGACCAAAAAAAAAAAGATGCCATACAGTCATGGTAATAAAAATGTAATGAGCGTCCTAAAAGTAGATAAAGAGAACCCAGTTCAACAAATGAGATATCAATATTATACTTGGTCATTGATATATTGAGGAAAATGATCCAATATTACATATTTGTGAGTGGTAAAAGTATATGAACCTTTGCTTTCAGTATCTGGTGTGACCCCCCTGTGCAGCAATAACTGCAGCTAAATGTTTCTGGTAAGAGTTGATCAGTCCTGCACACCAGCTTGGAGGAATTTTATCCCATTCCTCCGTTCAGAACAGCTTTAACTCTGGATGTTGGTGGTTTCCTCACGTTAACTTCTCGCTTCAGGTCCTTCCACAACATCTGGATTGGATTAAGTTCAAGACTTTGACTTGGCCATTCCGAAACATGAACTTTACTCTTCTTGAACCGTTCTTTGGTAGAACCACTTGTGGTCATTGTGTTGCTGCATGACCCACTTTGAGGTTCAGTTCATGGACAGATGTTCTGACATTTTTCTTTAGAATTCTCTGATATAATTCAGAATTTATTGTTCCATCAATGATGGCGAGCAGTCCTGACCCAGATGCAGCAAAACAGGCCCAAACCATGACACTACCACCACCATGTTTCACAGATGGGATAAGGTTCTTATGCAGGAATGCATTCTTTCTCCAAACATAACACTTTCATTTAAACCAAAAAGTTCTATATTGGTCTCATCTGTCCACAAAACATTCTTTCAACAGTCTTCTGGTTTGTCCACGTGATCTTTAGCAAACTGCAGATGAGCAGCAATGTTCTTTTTGGAGAGCAGTGGCTTCTCCTTCAACCCCGTCATGCACACCATTGTTGTTCAGTGTTCTCCTGATGGTGGACTCATGAACATTAACATCAGTCAATGTGGGAGAGGCTTTCAGTTGTTAGAAGTTACTCTGGGCTCCTTTGTGACCTCCCTGACTATTCCACGCCTTGCTCTTCAAGTGATCTTTGTTGGTCCACCACTCCTGGGGAGGGTAACAATGGTCTTGATTTTCCTCCATTTGTACACAATCTGTCTGACTGTGGATTGGTGGAGTCCAAACTCTACAGATGGTTTTGTAACTTTTTCCAGCCTAATGAGCATCAACAACTGTTTTTCTGAGCTCCTCAGAAATCTCCTTTGTTCCTGCCATGATCCACTTCCACAAACATGTGGAGAGCAGACTTTGATAGATCCCTGTTCTATAAATCAAACAGGGTGCCGACTCACACCAGATCATCATCCCATTGATTGAAAACACCCGACTCTAACTTTGCCTTCAAATTAACTGCTAATCCTAGAGGTTCACATACTTTTGCCACTCACAAATATGTAATATTGGATCATTTTCCTCAACAAATAAATGATCATGTATAATATTTTTGTCTCATTTGTTTAACTGGGTTCTCTTCATCTACTTTTAGAACTTCTGTGAAAATCTGATGATGTTTTAGGTTATATTTATGCAGAAATATAGAAAATTATAAAAGCTTCACAAACTTTCAAGCACCAGATGTTGTGTTTTTTTATGTTATTTTTAGCCAGTAGCTATTTTTTAAATCATGGATTTAAACTATTATTTAGCTATTTCTGGCTTATAATTAATGTTTTGCTATAGTTGGAGATTTTGCAGTCTTTTGAAAATTTTTGCGTTCGTTTCGCTAATCTTAGACTATACTGTACTTTGCTTTAAAGTTAATATTTTGCAGTTAGTGTAGTGTTTGTTCTGCTCGTTTCAACTTCATCCGTTTAGTTTCAGCTACTTGTCAAAACTTTCCGCTCTCTCAGCATTCACATCAATAAAAATTGAAACTAAACTTCACAAATTCAAATAACATTTGACTTGTGAATTGTACTTATTATTATAGTCTGTGTTTTAACTTTATGGTCTGTTGGGGTTGATGTTGGGACCTATTTTGTTTGGTGACATTTAGATTTAAATTCAGTGGAAGTGTCATCATCAGTCACCG